GTTGCACATTCTTTAATTACAATGTTGATTTCCATTCCAGATCACCAACATTTGTTGGGTCTATTAAAGCGTTCCAGCTGTCCAATCACATGGCAGTGATGTCATATCATGCAACGTGCACAAAATTATCTCTGCTGATGTTGTTCTGCAACTCAAACAACAGCTTAATGCCTTTTTCAGACATTTTTCTTTAAAGCTTCTCTGAAAAATCTGCACATTCAGATGCTTTATTGATTATTTGGACCTATAATATGCTGGGGTGTTATTACTTATTCATGCTAGCCTCTGGTTCAAACTGAACATAATCATATTATAGGTCTAAAATGCTAATATTAGCATGCCTACAAGAACTATCATTTTACATTTACAAAACAGGCCATTTAAGGTCTAAATGATAATAATCCTTCTGCATGAGCAAAATTGCAGAAAGACAGATAAATAAAAATATCATTTGCATGTGCTGCAGAATTGCTGCAGAACAATGACATCACTACAACTGGATTGGATGCAGTACTGGTCCTTGACCCAAACGAGCGTTGATGATGATCCAAGACTGAAACCAATATGGCTGTAGAGTCCTGACAGTTTATAAGTTAAATGTTTATCCTTAAGGTTGTACAGGATGCACAACAAAAAATACAATCTTCAGAAACACAAATAGAAAAGGCAAAAGTCTTGAAAGACATGAACATTTTTGGAGCGAGTGATCCGTGACCGCCTGATGAAACCAGTCAAATAATCACAACATGAGAATCTTTTTGTGCTCTCTGGCATTAGCTCAATAAATATGTATTTCAGTGGGAGTCTGGTCTCCCTCTCGTCTTCTGTTCTTGTAACATTAGCAAAAATTGATCTCGGTGAGTCGTATGGAAGAGCCTCCTCCCACGATCTTCCTTTATTTATTTATTTATTTTGTTGGCCTTCTTTATTTTCTTCCTTTCTTGAAGGTTGCAACAAGGAGGAGGACTGACCCAAAGTAAACACTGCCTGATATGTGACATGATCTCAGGCTTTTCAAATATGTATGATGGAAAAAGAGGAATTAAGGATTTTAGGACTAATACAACATCTGGAATTGAGCCGATAAAACATTTTTTTTAAAAGTCATGTGTGTTCTTAAAGAATATATATCATGACTTTTTTCTGAAGTTAGAACAGTTCTACGGTCTTTATAATACATTTTATGAAGTATTTTGGCACTAAACTCCTCTCGCATTTAGCAATTTCCACAGTTGTATTCTACAGGTGCTGGCCAGTAAATTAGAATATCATCAAAAGGTTGAAAATATTTCAGTAATTCCATTCAAAACGTGAAACTTGTACATTATATTCATGCAATGCACACAGACCAATGTATTTCCGATGTTTATTACGTTTAATTTTGATATTTATAGGTGACAACCAATGAAAACATCAAATCTGGTATCTCAGAAAATTAGAATATTCTAAAGGCCAATGAAAAAATGTTTGTTTCTCTAATGTTGGCCAACTGAAAAGAATGAACATGAAAAGAATGTGCATGTATAGCACTCAATACTTAGTCGGGGCTCCTTTTGCCTCAATAACTGCAGTAATGCGGCGTGGCATGGACTCGATCAGTCTGTGGCACTGCTCAGGTGTTATGAGAGCCCAGGTTGCTCTGATAGTCGTCTTCAGCTCCTCTGCATTGTTGGGTCTAGCGTATTGCATCCTCCGCTTCACAATACCCCATAGATTTTCTATGGGGTTAAGGTCAGGCGAGTTTGCTGGCCAATCAAGGACAGGGATACCATGGTCCTTGAACCAGGTGCTGGTGGTTTTGGCACTGTGTGCAGGTGCCAAGTCCTGTTGAAAGGTGAAGTCTGCATCCCCATAAAGTTGGTCAGCAGCAGGAAGCATGAAGTGCTCTAAAACTTCCTGGTAGACGGCTGCATTGACCCTGGACCTCAGGAAACAGAGTGGGCCAACACCGGCAGATGACATGGCACCCCACACCATCACTGACGGTGGAAACTTTACACTGGACCTCATGCAACGTGTATTCTGTGCTTCTCCGCTCTTCCTCCAGACTCTGGGTCCTTGATTTCCAAAGGAAATGCAGAACTTGCTTTCATCAGAAAACATAACTTTGGACCAATCAGCATCAGTCCAGTCCTTTTTGTCCTTGGCCCAGGCGAGACGCTTCTTGCGCTGTTTCTTGTTCAAGAGTGGCTTGACACACGGAATGCGACACCTGAATCCCATGTCTTTCATGAGTCTCCTCGTGGTGGTTCTTGAAGCGCTGACTCCAGCTGCAGTCCACTCTTTGTGGATCTCCCCCACATTTTTGAATGGGTTTGTCGTCACAATTCTCTGCAGGGTGCGGTTATCCCTAGAGCTTGTACACTTTTTTCTACCACATTTTTTCCGTCCCTTCGCCTGTCTGTTAATGTGCTTGGACACAGAGCTCTGCGAACAGCCAGCTTCTTTAGCAATCACCTTTTGTGTCTTGCCCTCCTTGTGCAAGGTGTCAATGATTGTCTTTTGGACAGCTGTTAAGTCAGAAGTCTTCCCCATGATTGTGGTGCCTTCAAAACAAGACTGAGGGACCTTTTAAAGGCCTTTGCAGGTGTTTTGAGTAAATCAGCTGATTAGAGTGGCAGCAGGTGTCTTCTATATTCAGCCTTTTCAGAATATTCTAATTTTTTGAGATACCAAATTTGGAGTTTTCATTAGTTGTCACTTATGAATATCAAATTTAAATGTAATGAACATTGGAAATACATTGGTCTGTGTGCATTGCATGAATATAATGTACAAGTTTCACGTTTTGAATGGAATTACTGAAATATTTTCAACCTTTTGATGATATTCTAATTTACTGGCCAGCACCTGTATATACAGTTTTAGTACCTTCCAGAATGAGTTGTGTTCAGAATGAAAGCTGGAGCTGGCCACGCCCACCCATCACCTGATAATTTTCCTATCTGTGACTCGCCGGTCCAGTTGGGTCCTTGCTCGACCTCTGAGACCAGAAATCAGCTATTCTGAATTCGGTCGGTCTAGCCTTCGTGTCTACGGCAGGCTGTAGGTCCTGTCACAAAGCAAGGAAAAAAGCTAAAGCTAGCGACAAATGAGCAGGGATTTCATTTTTTAGGAGCTACAGAAACTTTACCTCCGTCGCCAGCATTTGTTCTTAAGGCTGAGAGTTTTTAGGGCTTACATGCTAACTGTAGTTTCATGTATGTTTTAGGCAACAGAATGAACGGTGTATAAATGTAAAAATTATTATAGATTATTAGCATGTAGATAATTAATAAGTTTAAATGCTGAATTCGGTAGGACATTTTCTAATGTTAATTGGGTCTTAGAACTTCTTAACGAGCATAAAGTGGGTGTAAAAGTATTATAAACGGTCTTTTTAAGTTAATAAAATAGCATTGGAATGCTTTCAACGTGTTTTTGTTTATTCAAGTTAAGCTTAAAAGTGTAAATCACCTGTAGTTGTTTTTTTATTTCCTGCTTTTCTGTAAACAGAACGGAACCATTGAACTGCAGGATGTATGTGTTTCAGATTTAACTATAAAAACTTCTTTTTTCTTTATTACAAGTCAGCATGCACCATCTGCCTTAGAGTTGGTGACATTGTGGCCCTGGAGAATGAGCCGGAGGAAGATGTTGCAGAGGCTGGTGTGGAGGCAGTCAGCGGTGCTCAGTGCTGGAGGAAGTACCACCAGACCACAACTACTGTTAACAAGCAAGCACTGTCACTGTATTTGCTGAAAAGTCACAATTGTTCTTATTAGTGAAACCATTAACCATCTCCTCATTGCATATTTCTGAAAATGAATTAAGATACGGCAGCCGTCGATTGAGTCAGCCCAGCCATATGAAGATAGACGATGGAGCGGTCAGTGAGAGGAAACATCCCGAAGCTCTCTCTGCAGACCGCTCTACGGTGTTCCACCTGTTGACCGGAAACGTCTAGCCACAGGTCTCGGATACAGCCCTCCGTCCACGTCTGGGATCCTTCTGCAGCAGATTCAACTACACACTTCCTGCTCACTCAGTTTAAATAAAGGATTCAGAAGAAGAGTCACTAGGTTAATCCTGCTTGAACTGTACATAACTGTTCCATATTTGTTTTGATCTTTAAATAATTAACTGAAATAGTCTTGTTTCCCTACCACCTGTCCATTTTTCATGTAATATGTTCAAAAACAACAGCAAATAATAAAATGACTGATCAAAAGAGTTATAAAATATTTGTTTTAATTCATGTATTCAAATACCAAACAACTAGATGTAAGCTTTTTTCTGTTGGCATCATGGTGAAGCCTGGAAGTAAAAGTATGAGAGTAATGTCTTTGGAGGCGAAGCAAAGAGCTAAAACCAGAGTGAACGTTGGTGCTTCCTACGCTAGTTTGAGGGAGCTAAAAGAGGCTACAATATCACAGACTGATGGTGACCTGACTTTGTTGTAACTGAACTTCTAAGTAATAATATTTTTGTCCAACAGTGTGGATCTCGTTACCTCATGGTTTATTTTAGTGTGGATTAGTTAGCTCATGTTAGTGTTAGCTTGTTGTTAGCGGTAGCTACAGCAGGGTTGTTTACGACAGTTGTAATTCCACTTCCAACCAGTAGGGTTGAGCAGGAAACTGTTCTGTGTTACTTTAAGGCTACTTGTGACCTGAATTGGATAATTTCAATAAGACCTCTATTCTAACTAACAGATTAATAATAATAGACACTAATTCTAATGCATTCCCCAGATTTTAATTCTTTACAAATGTTCTCTTTGTTCTTAAGATTGGGGTAATTAGTGCCATCGTATTGTTTTTAAATGATCAAATGATGAAAATAGACTCATGCTTATCCATTAAATAAAACAGTATGCTCTGCTTTAAAATGCTCTTTAAGTACTAACCCTCTAATATTGAAATGGATCTCTTTGATATTTGTTATTGGATGTGAACCAGAACTAAGACAGTCTTTTATTTTTCCTTGTGAGGACCCTCTGCTGTCACGCCTGTCTCTTTAAATCCCTGACTGCTGGAGGTTGGGGAGGATTTGTTGCGGATAGCAGGGAGCTCGGCATGTGCAGCTCTTCATATCTGCATATCTCTCTGCTGCCTGCATCAGAGCGCACACGGGGGAGGAAAGAGGTCGTCTCGCATGCTTGGACTAAATTTCATTCGGTTTCTTGTTTACTGTCCGCAGCAGCAGCGGGGCATCCTTGGAAGAAATCAGTGACCATGCGGGAGGGACGAGGTGATGCTGCTGAGTTTAGTTCTTAGGTTTCCTCCGGAGGGATGCTGCTGGTGGTGCTGATGCTGCTGAACCTGCGGCTGATTTAGGATTCTGGGAGTCACAGCAAAGTGTTTTTTTAAATGATTTCAGTCTCTCTGGTGTAAGATTTTCGTTATTTATTTGATCAAATTAGAGAATATTTAGTTTAACAGAACATTTTTAGAAACAAAAGGACTGGGCATCTGATGAGTGTTGAGATGAACTTTGGAAATTCTCTGCTTGTGATTATTTCAAGCATCAGCATCGCTGCAGGTGAGTGTTCACGTTCATTTCTCATTGATTTTAAACAAAACTCATTTTTTTGCATCAAACATTGAACTAAACCTTCGCATGGTGGCTCTGCGCAGCCCTGCTGACACGTCTGATCGCGCTTTGCGTCCCTCCAGATGGATGTAAATGCTGTGCTTATGCCAACTGGGGGAAATGAACGCATCCTTTCCAAAACCACACAGGGAAAATGTCACGCGCGCATTAATGTTGAAATATCACGGGTGAATGTCAAGTAAATCCACATTTAGTCAGAGTTTGGCCCTGAGCGCTGAGGTGGCCTTACAGCGGCAGCAAGAGAGGTCCAAAGACGCTCCGCTGACGCAGAAAAGTCAAACCATTAAACTCCGTGCTGCGGCGCGCGCGCGCACCAACTCATGGGCGCGTGCCACAACAAGCACGGCTTAATACAAAAATGAAATCAAATCAGACATCAGAAAAAACACAATCCATCCAAATGGAGTTGATTTTATTTTATTCAATTTTGAACTTTTTTTTGTTATTTTATACAAAACATTTAAATCTGATGAAATTTAGGACTAATACGTTTAATCCTTGAAATCATTCATAAATCTTGATTCGAGACGTTTAGTAAAAACAATGTTTGCTAATTTGGGTCATAGTAGATGCTAAAAATACGTTTTAGTTCCATTATCTGACTGAGCTGTGGCTGTTGACGACTAATGGCTAAAATAAGGTTCAGCTGGAATCAAAATCCAAATGTGTGTGCAACATTTCTGTGAGAGGTTTTTAACAAAGTCTGCTCTCGTGGGGCAAAACGTGCCATTTCAAAGTGCTAATGTTATACAATTGCATGGACGTAATTTTGGGGGGACAGGGGGGACATGTCCCCCCCCCCCCCCCACACACACTTTTTACAAAGTCAAGCTTTGACCCCTGCACTTTTTACCATCCAAAAACAATATTACGCTATTTTAAATTGACACTGGTTGAGCTCTAGGACCAAGCAGAAAACAACCATTTGTGTTGAAGCCTGTTTCCCATTAGAACACACTGTAAAGATCCCCCCCCACCCACCCCCGTGTCCCCCCCACTTCTAAAGTGAAAATTACGTCCATGTACAATTGTGTCACAACGAGTCTGAACTGTGTTGGTTCTCAGTTTACCCTCATTTTGTAATTTGGTAATTTGGTAACCATGATCCATCATTCCCGTCTTCTCTGACTGAGAAAGATTGGAGGGGAGTACCAAATGCCTTTGATTCTGTTTTAAAAAACAGTTTCTCAGTTTTTGCACCTGGTTAAAATTAAGGCAACAAAACATTTCAGTCTTTTGTTAGAATCTCACAAATTGACCTTTACTTTATTTGCAACTTGATCACCAACCTCTCCCAAAGCTTTCTTTCTTTTCTCACACTTCTCGACTCCAGTTGAACACAGTTTGAGAAGACTCTGCGACTGTTTTGAGAAGAAAGTTGCCGTGCAAACACTTTCCAAATCCAGTGACACAACAGTGAGGTCTCTAAAACAGCAAGCTGAGAACCTTTGCAATCACTTGGAGACATTTTGTAAACTCCCTTGCTGCTTGTGACTGCCACGGCTTTCAATCTTTACACAAAATGTGTTAATTGGTGGGAAGGTGAAAACAAAAATGGTATAACACATACTTTTAGCAAAAAATTTATTTTTTTTTTCACTCTATTGCCCACCAGTGGCACAGATCTCACTGTGTTTCATAGTTCCTACCCAGTGAGTGGTTTAGTTTCATTTAAAGAACTGATTTCATGCACAAACAAGGTTTCAAACTCCTAATTTAATTTTACAGACTCCAGAAACAAGTATTAATTTTAAAAATGTGCTATTTATTTTGAAAAAAACATCACCAGAAATAAGTCATGGTTGAAGGTGGAGTTATTTTATGATTCTAGAACAAGTCATGCTGTTGGAGTTTGGTTGAGTGGTTGCATCATATTCCAATTCCCAAACACATTCACGGATGTCGCTATTAGCAGACAAACAGGCAGCAAAGAAGAAGAGGCGCTGCAGAGTTTAAATGAAGTGAGCAGCTCCATAAATAAAACTCTGGGTAAAATATTTCCCCTCCAACAACTTAATAAGCCACATTAGGAAACAACTGGAGGCATATTTCAGGTTTTTCCAGGGTTTGTTTTGATCTCCAACAGCTCCGAGGATAAATGTCTGTCTCTTCTGCTGCTAAATTCCTCGGCATTTCCACGAGCAAGTGGCTTTCATTATGTTCTCGCTGATTTGTGCTGGGCAGATACCAGAAAATGGGACTTTTAGAGAAAATGAACCAGAGTTAAAACAGTGAGCAATAAAACCAAAAACAATCAGTTATAGGACCCTATCGAGATCTGCAAAGCCGCAGGAATCCTCAGATAAAAACAACTGAGGTTTTTTTTTTACTGTTTCCAGATTACCCAGAATATTTATAAATGCACCCGTTTATTGATAATAAACTCAAAGACGAATCAGGTTCTTGACTCTGACGTCTGTCCCGGTCAGATTCAAACCTGCACAGCCTCTCAACATCAGAAGCACTTTTCGGCACCATCTGCCCACATCCATTACCGTGGAGTGGCAGCCTCCTCTCCTGCTCACCTCGGTTAATGTGCACATCAGTAATGTGTGTAATTTGCATCAAGCACTTGAAAGAATTGGATTCAAAGCAGCTTCAGATCCTCTGATACAACAGGCCGATATGTTCCAGCGAACGCGAGGCAGCAGGAAGTCAAGGCTTTGTTTACGTTTCGGACTCCAGACATGTCCCTGCAGCTTTGATTACGTGAGGAAAAAAACAACAACAACAACCGTCTCTTTCACAAATTGCAGCTTTCGTGCACACAGACCCGAGATAAACAACAGCTTCGGTGAGACTGTGGTTATCTACCAGGCTAGTCACCTGCTGTGGAGCTAATCGATGCCCGTGATTTGTGTCCACTCTGTCCACGCAGTCGTCACACCTTAGGTGCTTCATGAAGCTGCGTGCGGACGACGACGCAGTACGTTTTTGATATGAGCCTCATCGTTGACTCATGTTCCCGGATGCTGATGACTCCTGGTACGGTGGCCGATGACATCATTTAGAGATTAAATGATGGACAAGGAGGACTATGTCCAACATCCCAGGCTCCGAAATCCCCAGACTGATGCCAGAACACATCACACTCTCCGCTTTGAAACTAAGTTTGCTGCTTCATGTTATCACCCCTTCTCCTCCTCCTCCTCCTCTTTGTCTTCCTCTGCTGAGATTTCTTGGCAATGTCACAAGAACTCTTTGAACGTTTTTGGCCTTTTCAAGTATGTAAATGAGCTGAAACAGAAAAAAAGGAAGAAGACAAGGAAATCTCAGCAGACAGCCACCGGCTCCTACAGGCGGGCTGCCAGCCTTCTGCTTCCTGTCTCACTTAACTTGCATGAAAAGTTGGACTTTAAGCTTCCTGTAGGTTTATTTATTTATTTATTTATTTTTTAGATATGAAGCTGTGAGCTCAGGTGGGTCCAGATTCTTGCTTTTGTGTTTCCCTGAGCTTGGCCGTAGCTGAAAGGCACAGACATCTGAAGCTAAATGGGACGTCCCCTTTGTGGCATTCATGTTTTTACGCATTTGCGTGACAGAGTATTTCTTCCCCCACGGGGGAATGCAGGGTTAATATTTGTAAATACTAATTAGTGACACCCCCGCCTTCTTTTCCGTTACGCAACGCCACAGATAGAGCCAACCAACGCCAGATATGACCCGAATCGAGTTTTCTAGACGTAAACTCGGTCTCCCTTGCAGCTCTCACCCGTCCTCTGTTGAGTGTTCAATGAGGCGGAAACGAGGAGACGCCACGAGCAAACATGTGGGCGTGTGTCAGGGTTTGCAACTAGGACCAATGCAACGACTTGTCTGTCAGAGCTGCGTGCGGTGCTAATGGGCTTTCATTTAACCACGCTGCCTCTTTTTTCCGTGCAAATCTTTTCATTTCCTTTGTGAATAAATACAAGAATTAATCACGGACCCGATTCGGTTATCCAGAGTTTCGCATCTAATCATCGTCGCACACACAATCAGGTCATAATGAACCACATTTACTGTCTGATGTCACTGAAGAAGAAAACAAAGAGCCCAGCGTGTCACGCTTCTGATGTTTGTGCTGAGAATCAGCACAAGGAGGTTAGAGTGAAAAAAGTAGGAGGTGAAAGAAACAGCTCACTCTTAGTTGGGGAGTTTTCTAGAGAAACTCATGGTTTATGTGTCCTGGGGAGTAATTACTGTGCTGTCTTCAGTAAAAAAAACACTTCCAGTAAAAAGATCCAATTCTTGTAGCAGCTTAAAGATATTTCCCTCGGGATTTTAAGAAGACAAAAAAAAAATAATAATAAAATATGCCTAAAAATATGTCATGAGAACAAAATGATGGCGTCAAATAAACCGTTCCAGCCTGTGTTAAAATCTGTGCTTTCGTTTTGGTCTTTTAGAAGACGTACTTGATTTTTTTAAGTACAGCGGCTAAAACCTACAAAGGGTGACCAAGCGTTTGTTTCCGAAGTGTTGGGGCTCCAGCGCACTGTGCCAGAACGTCACTTTCCGACGCACGCAGTAAAACGGAGTTTTCACCAAATTGTGACCTTTGCCCTCTCGCAATTTAACCTTCCCCTCACCCCCATCCTAACCTTAACCCACCTGCGTATGCAAAACTTTGATTCTAGTTGTATCGTTCCTCTCAAACACGGTTAACGGGAAATTTAGAACGAGAAACTGGGTTAAGGTGAGGACGGGGGTGAGTGGAAGGTTAAACCACTAGAGGTTAGAGGTCAAATGTCAGCATGCGAGTGTTGCTAGTATTAGCTTGTTGTTCTTGGATGTAGGACCATTCCCTCCAGCAAAGTATATGGAACAAATTTCCACTCTGAAAATCTGTTGCACATAAAAACTGCCACCACTTTGCTTTGTCTGTCTTTAGCTTGACCCGTTTCCTTTTCCAGCTGTTTCATGTTGTCACAGACCTAACCCAGCTT